CAGTCTTACAGTTCACTTTTGCTTACAGTTCACTTTTGTATGGACTTTCTCTCTTTTGAAAGAATGTGTTAACAATCACCATCTAATGAGGATGGTAATTCCAGCATATCTCCAACCTACATTTCTAGTTCCAAAGCCTAGTCCTCCATGTATTGTTTCATATCCTCACTCAAATTGATCCACATGTGCATTAAAATCACCTCCTATTGTGACTCTCTGTTCTGAAGGGATATCACTCAGTATCTCTCCTCAGATAGAGTTGAGGAGTGCACACATCCACACACACACAAACACACTCACACACACACTTTGTCAAATTTCACTCATTCTTATGTACAATAAGCAGATTGGCTGCAGTAGGTACAATCAGTTTGTAATAGATAGTTTCAAAAAAAATATCTTGTTCTTACAACTTTTACTACTCCATCTTTTGTTTCCCTGCTAGCAATTTATATCATATACCAGATACCTAGCAATATACCAGAATTTATATCCTTTCCTACCTATCCTTTATATCACCTACTTTTTTATCCTTTCCTCCTAGTCCCTTGAATACAAGCAATTTGTATAGTCTTCTCCATTTAAGTGCATCTACTAACTCCATACTATTGCCTGTAATATTTTCAAGATTCCCTGCTTACATTTTTCTGTACAGGTGATGATTGCTACTATAAGGACTGCCCTATAAGCCAATATATTGTTGTCTGTATGCTTCCACTTCGAAGAAAAGGCTTGGGAAGAAAGAAGAAATCTTGGCTAAGGAATATTAGAGATTGGAATAACCTCAGTCTTCTTCTCCTTCTTCTTTCCCTTTTCATGGGTCGCTGCCCCTTACCCTTTGTTGCCAATCCGTTCTTTGTATAGGGTCTTCTTCACCTAAACCTTTCTCTCTCAAGTCCTCTGCCACAGTCCTTTCATTTTTTCCTTGGTTTTCTTCTACCTCTTCTTGCATTAACTTCTAACAGCTATATCCTTTGTCCCACATAGTTTTCATCTCTATGTCTGACATGACCAAACCATTGCAGTCTTTGTTCTTCAATTTTTTTTGAAACTGTAGTCACCCCGGCTCTTTCCCTAATCCAGTCATCCCTGATTCTGTCCCTTCTATAGAAAATGTCACACTGAGAGTGCAGTACGGGTAAGATAGAGCAATGCTTTTCTTATGGAGAATAAACACGCAGGGTTGTCAGTTTTCTCCAGCTGTTGATTGCTCATTGTCTCACAGGACAGGCTTGGATAAAATGCATCTGCCGGCAGTACGAGTAAAATATTTTATATCATGTATATGTATACAGTAGGATAAAAAGGCATTGATGGGTTATTGACAACGAAAACTATGAATTTTGCTATGAATCATATTCATAAGAGTAACATTTGAACACCTCTTTACAAGAACAACATACAATAACTGTAGTTTTAATGTTTTACATAAAATAGAAAAAACTTACATAATTTCTAGGAAAGAATTTGGAAACTTGGAAATGATATTATTTATAGATGTTATATATAATATTCAAATTTCCAATTCTTTCATAGAAATTAGATTTTTTCTATTCTATGTAAAATATTAAAAATACAGTTATGTTGTTTCTATAAATAGGTCTTCATTTCTTTTGTAAAACTTCTGCAACGAATTACCATCATTAACATAATCACCTAAATATGGCCATAAACTTCTTTGTCATAATTAGTATTTGATAAACTCCAAGCTTTCCCTATTTCAGCCCCTACCCATCCTAAGGATGGGTAGGGGGTGAAAGTGTTTTTGGAAAACGAAACTACACTTCAAAATTTAGTCTGAGTTTCAACAGAGAGCATGGAGTCCCATAAGTTTAAACCGGTGAATTATTTAACGGTTGCGCTAAACTCGTAGTGTTAAATGTGTTGTGTTTTTTACAAAATACGGAACAACTTAATGTAAGTGCTGCTGTAAGACGTACTTCGTTGATGACTGGTGTTAGCGAAAGAAGCATTTACAATTTCAAAAAAGAAAAAGAACAGAGTGGAACGTTGAAATCGCCAAAAAAAAAACGTAAAAAACGAGTGTGTCAATCAAATTCTAGAATATTCACATATGACGAGGGTGTAAGAAGTATTCTACGGAGAATTGTTCATTGTGAATTTTTCATGAAAAATTTGCCGCCATTCTTAAAGCATATACATAACTGCATACAAGGTAACGAGACTATACAGCCGTTGTCTCTTTCTACTTTATACAGACTTCTGAAGATATTGAACCCATAATACCACTTTTGAAAACGACGAGGTACGCCAGTTGATCGACGACAGTTTTGCACGCGTCACAGAGCAAAATTGGCGCAATTATGTCACTCATGTTGTTGAGAAAACGGAAACTAAGATGTGGACTGCGGACAACCTGCAAGATGACGTAGACCAATTGATAATACACGCGAACACAGGGGAGAGTAGCGAAAGCGAATCCGACATCTCGGATGTGGAGGACGACTTTAGTATAATTAATTGAATATCTGTGAGTAACCTCGATTATTTTACACTGTATAACCAATAAAATGGATTTACCAGTCCAATCAGAGTATGGGCTTTTCGGATATTGGGCTGGGTGCACGGAAATCGAGGTTCCACCCTGTATATTTATAGCTATCAAGAAATGTAATTTAAAATATATTTGTTAGTTTAATAAAGTATAAATATAATATAATGTTAAATAACTTACACTATAAACCTTATACCTGCTCATCTGGTCAAGTGTGGGTAAGGGAAACCATTATCCCATATGGAATAACACAAGGTTTCGCTGAAAACTACCAGGTTGCTATGCCAAGGAACTAGGTAAACTTATGTTGTGTGTAAAAAGTGCGAGACTGCATTATGTTTTAACAAGGACAAAAACTGCACTTCAGATTTCCACAAAAAAAAAATTCATAGTAGGTGTTAAAATTTCGCAGTGATTCAAGTGCGCAACTTGATTTCTTAATAACATCGCCGGGATTAAAAAACGTGCAAAGCTTTTTCGATATTCCCGTTCCTGATAATTTCTCACATATTTACAAAAGAAAAAGTTTTTCTTGGATATTGTGCTGGGTGCACGGAAATCGAGTTACCGGAGGTTCCATCCGGTATATTTATAGCTATCAAGAAATGTAATTTAAAATACATTTGTTAGTTTAATAAAGTATACAGTTTTTGTAATAAAATTCTCGCTAAAAACTTAAGGTCTTTTTATTCAAATTTATGCCTCTTATTTGGCTACTTGAAGGCAATTGTTTTATCAATATATTATTTTATAATAAATAACAGAGCCCGGCGTAGAGATCTGGGTACGCTTCTGTGACTACCACTTGGACCTGTTTGTATTGCCAAGCACAAGGCGTGAAATACGGCAATTGTGCATTCCTATATTAGCCGTACTGCACTCTCGGTGTGACATTTTCTATAGTCTTACACAACATCCACCAAAACATGTTCATTTCAGCTACCTCCATCTTCTTTTCCTGAATCTTCTTTACAGACCATATTTCACAGTCATACACCAACGCAGGTCTCACCACACTTTTGTATATCTTTCCTTTAAGCCTTGCGCGATTTTTTATTCACGAAGTACAACAGTAACTTTTAAAACACACTATTTGAGAGATTACAAATTGCTCTCAGACTAGTAGAAACATGGTGCAAAGAATACTCACTATCTACAAATCCTAAGAAGACAGAGGTAGTCTTCTTCACGAGAAAAAGAAGGATCACGGGCTTAATGTTCTTAAGGATTCTAAACTACAGTTTAAATATCACAACTCCTCAGGCTAGATGCGTGCACAAGAATCTCACTATGCTGTGCAATTTATTTCTCATCAATCTAGGTCTGCTAGGTTTGTAAATCAGTATACAGTGTGAAGTGTAACTTTTTTTTAGACAACAGACTCAGTAAAACGCAGGTTTAAATTAAGAGAAAAATATATTTGGAACAAATAAATAAAAAAAATAAATCTCAAAAAAAAACAAATAAATAAATAAATAGATCTCCTTCAAATGCACGTTTCGTTCAAATCATGCTAGCCTCTTCTCTCGATAAACTGAATCTCTCGTTCTGGCCTAAACAGTGACTTTGGAATATAAGTAGAAAAATATAGCTTACAATATTTTACTGGATCAGCTTCTGTCAGATACACTTACTCCACGAAAACTCACAAACATTCACTTCTACTGCTTACTACCTCTGGGGAACCACCAGAGAACAACGACTGTTCGCCTCGCGCACTTGGAAAAACAACTGATTATCTTTTCTCCCTAAAAAATCTAGCTAAACTCTCATTCCTACATACCTATCCCACTTTTTTCATTCTCCTCCAATCAGAGTTCGTCACACTTATCCCCATCTACCATTTAGATAACAAACAACAATTTTACCTTCAATTATAAATTTCCTAAAAACTATTAACATGCTAATCGGTTTCTAGAAATTCTTAAGAACTAACGGAGAATTATATTTTCTAAATGTTTCTATTCTATTGTCTTATTCACTGTATATCGACGTACAAATCTATTTGGAAAACCCGCTCGTACTGTTCACGATTTCACTAAGCGCACTCACGTCACTCATATCTTTATTTTATAGTATATATTCATAATTTTGTTTACTACAGTTAATCCAGGATAATGGACTTTCATTTCTTTGAAATATCTTTTATTTTGTACTTTGAAATATATTAAAAAGAGCAAACCAATATTATTTTCAATTTTACATATAACAATATATATATATATATATATATATATATATATATATATATATATATATTGTATATATATACATATATATATATATATATATATATATATATATATATATATATACATATGTTACACATTTGTTAAAATTATCATATATATTCAAATCTAGCTGTCCAAACTATTATAAATTATTTTGTTCTATTTCTTTGAGTTGTTTTAATTTTAATATTATCTATCTGATACAGTTAGTACTATTATTTAATTGTATTTATATAATTTATTGAATGTTTTAGATTCTACACAAGCTTTGCTGGACAAGCTCAAGCAAAGGATGCCATGGAATCAACCCAAGGTACCAACCTCAAGCCCAATGACTTCAAGTTCAGATCCCATAGCGCCTCCCAATGTGGTTGCACCAAGTTTCATGCAAAAAACGCAACAGATACAACAACAAAATCAGTCTCAAAAAATGCAGCCACCAGGTGTACCAACTTCCCAACAACAACCTCAACTACAGCAGCAACAAACCCAAAATACACCCCAATCTCCTGTTAATTCCAATTTCCCTCAAATTCCACAATCACCAACTTCCCTGAGCAGCCAAGTTCCAAAGAGTATAATACATCATACACCTAATCAACAACAGCAAAGTTTTCAGCAGCCACAACAGCAAATATCACAGCAAACTCAGCTCCAGCAGCAGCAACAACAGCCACAACATCCCTTAAACATTAATAGATTGATTGGACAACCCCAAGCAAGAACTAACTTACAGTTAAGAGGTCAGTTGGGACAAAACCAGTTGCATCAGCAGCTATTACAGCAGCAACAACAACAGCAACAACAGCAGCAGCAGAATCAAGGTAGAAACTACAAAAACATACTTTGTTCAATTTTATCTTGTATTTATATATTTCCTTTTAATCCAAAAGCCATTATTTTTAAGGTATTCAGCAGCGGGGAAGTGCTCCTCAAGTTTCAACACCACAACATATCCTCCAACACCAACTTGCTCAAAGACAGTTAGCACAGAGACAATTGTTGCAGAATCAGCTAAACCAAAATCAGTTGTTACAGCAACAAATAAATACAGGCCAACAACAAATTATCCAAAATCAACAACAAATAACAACTTCTCAGCACATAAGTCAGTTAACATCCCAGCAGCTTGCACAATTACAGCAACAGCAACTACAACTTAAACAGAACAAGCAGATGCAAATGACTCAAAATCAGCAATTGATAAATCAGAATATTCAGCAACTTAACCAGTTGAATCAAGGACAGCAGCAATTGCAGATAAATCAAAATCAACAGATTCAGCTCAATCAGAATCAGCAACAAATTCAATTAAACCAAAGCCCACAGCAAATTCAGTTGAATCAAAGCCCACAACAAATCCAATTGAACCAAAGTCCACAGCAAATTCAGTTGAACCAAAGTCCCCAACAAATTCAATTGAGCCAAAGCCCACAGCAAATTCAATTGAACCAAAGCCCACAGCAAATTCAGTTGAATCAAAATCAACAGCAGATTCAGCTCAATCAAAATCAACTTCAGTTAAATCAAAATCAACAATTACAACTTAATCAGAATCAACAACAGATACAATTGAATCAAAATCAACAGCAGATACAATTAAACCAAAATCAACAGCAGATTCAATTAAATCAGAATCAACAAATACAGTTGCCTCAACTTCAGTTGGGCCAAAGTCAACAGATTCAATTGAATCAAAATCAGCAAATTCAAATTAATCAAAACCAACCTCAGTTGCAACTTACTCAAAATCTACAACAAATCACGGTTAATCAGGGCCAGCAAGTTCAGAATCAACAAATTTTGCAAAATCAAGTAATTCAACCCCAACAAAATCAGATTATCCAACAACAAAATCCTCAACAAATCCAGATGAGTCAGGCACAGAACTTCGTGCAACAGAGTGTCAATCAGCATATAATTTCTCAGCAAAATCAGCAAATTTTACAACAGAAACAATTCTTATTAAATCCACATCAAGCTGTAACTAGCCAGCAACAATTTGTTACAACGACTTTTAATCAGAACCAAGACTTAAACCAGCAAACCATTAATCAGCAGCCAACTCTTAATATTCAATCCCTGAATCAACAGTTAAGCACACACAATTTGGGACAACAACTGAATCAACAACAGTTGACACAACAATTGACACAGCAAACCTCAATTGCCCAACAGATAAATACACAAAATCAACCCAATCAACTAGTGCAACAAATTAATCAGCAGGATCAATTAGAACAAAGAATATCTCAACAAAATCAGCTCAATCAATTAACACAAAATAGACTTGGGCAACAAAGTCAACTTAACCAACAAATCAATCAACAATCTCCACAAAACCAAATCTCTCAACAGAACCAACTGGCACAGCAACAGTTAAATCAACAGAATCAGTTGGCACAGCAACAAATTGGACAACCAAGTGCATTAAATCAGACAACTTTAGAGCAAGAATTGGGCAATTTAAATCAACAACTGAATCAGGGCTTGAATCATCAAATTCAGCAACAACAACAGCAGCAACAGCTAAGCAGACAAACTCTTCAGCAGCAGCAGATTGGCCAGCAACAGGGTCTAGGACAACAAAATATACAACAGACAAATATGCAGCAGCAGTTAAATCAGGTAATAACGTTTATATTGGGTGTTCTATTGATAGGAACGATAGGAAGTTCAAAAGCATTAAGAAAATAAAATTATTATAAATTACTCAGATAAAATTGTACAGTCACTCCATTTTATAAATTTATGCACCATTATCATTTACAATCATATACTTTTATATACCTACTATTCATACAAGTAAAGTAACATGAACATAACTTTCATCAAATTTAAACAATGGTAAAAATAAATTTTTAAACAATACTATCAATAAGAGAATTTTATTTGCGTATTATATTACTTCCTTGTGGATATGAAACTACACTCATAACATTATCTTCTACTTTTCTTGTTGTGTAGTGTCGTTAATATGTTAAATTTTCTTGCGATTATATTAAATTGGTGCAGCATATGTTGTAAATTATCTTCACTTTTAGAGATTGGTTGCGTCGCCTGCATAGCAGACTATTTTAAGTTGTATTTCTCATCCTTTTTTAGTTCTTATTCTTTTATTATTTCATCCATAATAAGGTTGAATAATAGAGGACTCAGAGAGTCTCCCTGTATTATCCCATTGCCAGCTTTAATAGGGACAGTTAATTATTCTTATACTTTTACTTCTATTGTGTTATTTTCGATCATTTTGACTATTCTTAGACGTATCTCTTATGCATACAATAACTGGATAAAGTCCTTTAATTTGACCCCGTCAAATGCCTTCGTAAGGTACACGATACATATCTCCTGCTTGATAAAATACACTTTGAGTACAGTGTATGGCTATCCTTCTGCGCCATATGTAATTTTCTTTTACCGCCTTATATATTTGTCTAAGGATTTTTCTTTCAAACGTACCTAATAGGTTCTCATCGCTTTTCGACAGTGTCCATGTCTCTGATCCATATACAAGGACCGGTTTTATCAGGGTTTTGTATATTTTGCATTTCGTTTTTCCTGTATTCTTCTCTTAACTTCTTCACTGGCATTAGTTATCTGCGGTAACTAGTCAACCTAGATATGTAAAATTTTTCACGCCTTCGATGTTATAGTCTCCTATTGTCAGATTCTGTAGGTTTCTTTGGCCTGTTGATTTGCTGGCCTTCATGTATTTGGTTTTCATTTCGTTAATGTTTAGGCCACTGTTTTGTGCCGCTCTTTCTATCGCATTAGATCCTTCTATCATCTCTCTTTCGCGTCTAGCTATATCAACATCATCTGCAAATGCCAATATTTGTATACTTTTTGTTATTATTGTTCCTCTGGTGTTGACTTTTGACTCTAATTATTTTCTCTAATGTGATGTTGAATAGAATGCAGGACAGGGCATCTCCCTGTCGTAGGCCCGTTCTCACATGGATTGTATCTGTTAATGCGTTTTGAATTCGAATTTTGCTTTGTACTTTAAGTGTTTCTTTTACTATATCAATGAGTTGAATTGGAATATTAAACTCTTTCAGTGCATGGATCAGAAATTCTCGATGGATGCTATCATAGGCACTCTCAAAATCAATGAAAAGATGATGTGTGTTTATATTAAATTCACTAGTATTTTCCAGGATTTGTCTCAAGACGAAGATCTGATCTATTGTGGACTTCTGCCTACAGAAACCACATTGATATCACCCAACTAGTTGTTCCGCATATGGTCTCAATTGATCATACACAATATTTGACAAGTGTTGTAATAACGAACTTTTAACGAATAACCAACGAAGGAGAAATTTTTACTGAGATATTCTCTTCTAAATTTACTGGGCGGTTCCATTGTCTCAACATAAAGTGGTTCAATAGGGGTAGATCTCATAGCACCCATGCAACACCGCAAAACACTTTGATATGAAGCATTAACCATCAGAATTAATGATGGCTCTTCTAAATTGGGAATTAGTTGTTCACTTATCCGTTTAGTAAAAATTTCACTGTTCATGTCAACATGATAATCAGCTACTTTAGATTTTGATCAAAATAATAAACTTGCTTCAGTAACAAATCCTTTCGAAGAACCAGTGTGGGCAATTATAAAACATTTAACATCATACTACCCGTCTGGTTTACGTGCACTTGTCACAATTGTACACAATTGTCTTGCCAGAAAATTGTTTTATTTCCCTTTGAATAAATCCATGTTTCTTCCAAAAATAAAGTCTCTGGGATGCACACTATTAGATTTTCCGTATATTTTCGAAGGACCTTCGCTCTTGAAGCAGCAATACTGGTACGCTCAATTAATGCTCATCTATTATTGCCCTTTTCGTATTTTAATCCCAATTCTTTTAACAAAATGCTATTGATGTTTTGCCAATAAATAAAACTTCATTATCCACTTATCCATTACTTATACTTTGCAAAGTAACATGTTTCTTTAAAAAAAGGTATATAATAAATCGCACTGTGCTAACTGGTCTAATGTAAAGAAAATAAATACTTTGTTTTATAAAATACAATGATATGTAATGGAACATACATTTAATAACACATACAAACGAAATACTGAAACACATTTAACACAAGTTGTTCTGCTTGAGAATTCAATGGTTTACCAGACATATTCTAAAAATAAAAACCCTTAAAAATATTTCATATCATTCAGTTGACATGATTTTAGTCATTAGTTAATGAATAAATTTTTACTCTAATAAATTGAACACGAAGGTAACGATTAGTCGTTATAGCAACTGTTAAAAATATTTAAGTATATTTTAAGTATGAAAAAAGATTTAATATTTTAATTACACGAAATAATTTATTAACACTACAAACGCTGTCAAAATAAAACTTAAAATTACCAGTAGGTGAATTAATCACCAACCATCGTCCTATGGCTGTCTTTGTTCGATGTATGTTGTTGTGTATGGACAGGACATTAACTTAAGTGTATCGATTCTGTGAGTAGGAAAGAGACATAATATAAAGTATAATTCGTAAATAATGGCATACTGTGCAAAGATCCAGCAGATGGACTGTATATAGTAATAAAATACTTTAAAAATAAAAAAAAAAGTTTTGTCTTTACTAGTCTTACTAAACAGACGATTATGTTGTATTAAATGAATTACCTTTGCTGAACCATATATTTTTTAGAATATCCAGATAAACCAGCAAGTGAATCCTGGCATGCAGCAAGTTGTCAGAACACAGTTTCAACAACAGCCAAATATTACCCAACAGATTCTTATTAACCAATCTGCTCCTCAAACCCCGACTCCTCAACGTCAACACATTTGGACTCAACAGCCAACTCAGATAGCTGGACAACAGATAATACGACATCCTGTTAATGTTATTCAGCAGGTATGTGATAAATACAATGTTGTAATATTAATATATTTAAAAAAAGCAAAGGTTTCCAATTGAAATCTACTTAGTCCGGCGAGTATTTGTACACACTCCTCCAAATTAAATTATTTAAAACGTATTTATCGATGTGAGATGAAGAATAGTTCAAATTAATTAGAGATTAGAATATCAATTAAAGCTTAGGATATTATTCTTTTTATTAGCTTATAAATATGTAATGTATTTACCCCACGAAATAAAATCTTAAGGTTGTTAGAATCCTTTTCGAAAAAAGGTATAACTTTAAAAATGGATTTAAAATTGTTGTTTCTTGGTTCGTGCATTATACATCATTATAATCCAAATTGCAAAGTCGTAAAGGCGCGTTTTTTTTATTTTAAGTATTTGTTTCTTCATATTGTATAATTAGGTCATCCCGTTGGTATGCTCACTTTTGTCACTTGTTTCTAAATATTGTTGTCAACTGATAAATTCATTCCAAGATATTTAATTTCATTACTTGTTTTATTTATTATTAATTTTGTTTATTATCTTCAATAATATCTATGACACAGGCAATATTCCAAAAGATTGGCTACTTTCAGAATTTATTACCTTACCAAAGAAACAGGGAGCAAAAAAGTGCGGAGAATATAGGCTAATAAGTCTAATGAGCCATACATTAAAACTTTTTCTTAAAATTATACATCGTAGAATATACAAGCTATGCGAAGAGAGAATACAAGACACACAGTTTGGATTCATGAAAGGCGTAGGTACAAGAGATGCACTGTTTAGTCTACAAGTGTTATTTCAAAGATGCAGAGATATGACTTGCGATATTTACACCTGCTTTGTGGACTACCAAAAAGCATTTGATACAGTTCAACACCAAAAAATGATGGATATTCTAACAAAAGCCCAAATGGATGATAAAGATCGGCGTATAATACAAAATTTATACTGGAGCCAATCAGCCACAATAAGAACGAATTTTGGAGGTGAACCAACGGAAATGATCCAGATTCTACGAGGCGTTAGACAAGGTTGTATACTTTCACCTATATTATTTAATCTATATTCAGAGGAAATATTTAGTGAAGCCTTGGAAAAATGCGAACATGGAATACTTCTAAATGGAGAACGCCTAAACAACATCCGTTATGCAGACGACACCGTTATTTTTGCAGACAGTTTGAACAGTTTACAGCAACTAATAAACAAAGTGAATGAAGTAAGTGAAAGATTTGGACTTCAAGTAAATATAACAAAAACTAAATTGATGATCATCAGCAAAAATAAAGTTAGAGACGCTCAACTACTTATCAATAATACACCAGTGGACCGAGTAAAACAGTATAACTATCTTGGAACAACAGTAAATGAACAATGGGATCACTCACAGGAAATAAAATGTAGAATAGAGAAGGCTAGGAGTGCATTCAATAACATGGCCAAACTCTTTAAAAGCCACAATCTTAATCTGGAGATAAAAGTAAGGCTCCTACGATGTTATATCTTCTCAATATTGTATTACGGAGTTGAATCCTGGACACTAACTGAAGCAATGGAGAAAAAACTTGAAGCCTTCGAGATGTGGCTATACAGGCGAATTCTAAGGATATAATGGACAGACAAGATAACCAACGAGACCGTATTACGAAGAGTGGGCAAAGAAAGAGAGGTGATGTATACCATTAAAAGGAGAAAGTTGGAATATCTCGGACATATAATGAGAAACAGCACTAAATACACATTACTGAAGGTAATCCTACAGGGTAAAGTATTCGGAAAGCGAGGAATTGGGAGAAGGAGAATATCATGGTTGAAGAACCTGAGGAAATGGTTCTCCACAACAACAACGAATCTATTTAAAGCATCAGTTAATAAAATAATTATAGCCAGAATGATTGCCAATATTCGGAACGAATAGGCACTGAAAGAAGAAGAATTTTGTTTATACTATTAGAATTTTTGTTTTTTATTCTGACCTAGCATTGTTTGTAGATGATCTTCCTTCTTCGCTATGAGAACTTCGTCTTTTGCATAATATACTGTCTTTATTTCATTCTTTCCCATTTGGTATCCTTTTTTGGATTTTATTTCTCGTCGAATATTAGATTGAATATTATTGAAAACGCAACGAATCTACCTGTTTAATCCTAGTTCTTATGTCAATGACTTTTCTTACTTCTTCTATACTTTTAATTACTATTTAACTGGGAATAAGCCACAATTAAAGATAAAAATACGTTTACTGACGTTTCAATTTCCACTTCGGAAATCGTTCTCAAAATACAAACAGTAAATTAAACAAATTTTGCTTTAAAAAAAAATTAACCCAAAAAGAAAAATCACATAATTGGCCATGACTAATACTCTCTAAGAACTCCACAACAAAATAACACTTACCAGAAATGTTCTATAGTAATCACTTTTTCTTGTAGACCGAAATCAAATTTAAAAAACAAATCTAAATTTGTTTAATTTACTGTTTGTATTTTGAGAATGATTTCCGAAGTGGAAATTGAAACGTCAATAAACGTATTTTTATCTTTAATGGTGGCTTATTCCCAGTTAAATAGTAATTAATTTAAAATGCCACAAGAAAATAGCTTCAGAACAATATTCTATACTTTTGCCTCGGTTTTGTTTCTTACATATAGTTTTTTATTATTTGTATGATGTTCCATGATACTTGTTTATTTTATACAAGATCTGAAATTCTCGGTTCCCTTCTTTGAAGGCAACTAGATGGCGACTTTTATTTTCACTAAATATTCAAAACAACCATCATGTAAAGGTAATTTGTAAACCAGTCCTCAGGGACGAAAATGTCACTGAACCTCTAAAAATCATACGATCAAGCTGAATTTTGCTGAATATGTCAATTTTGGGACCTTAAAAAAGATGCAAAAAAATTTGCTACTCCTATCCTAAAACCCCTCTCGTATCAGGAAAACTGAAAATATCGATTTACCAAGAATTTATACTCCGTAGAAAGAAATTTTTTAACAAGAACTGTAGCTGAGATAATTTTGAACAAAAATGTTTACTAGCATTTTTTGGTAAAATTAATCGTTCTCTCAGAAAGAACGCTTGAGGCGACCGGCAATTTTGAATCTAAGTTACGCGCAAGAAATCAAATCTTTCAAATAAAATTTGTATCAACTCGACGGTAAAAATTCGATATCTTTAAATCACTGTCCTATTGACAAAAATCAAACTGCATTTTAAAAGTCAAGAGTGTAGCTTTCGGATGCAATTTTTGCACTTTTCCATTAATGAAGTCAGTTTCTATAAAGCGGTTAAATAAATAAACGTTGCACAATATTTGCAATTTTTTACGATTCTCATGAAATCAATAATCTAATCTTCAAAACCTATAACATGGAATTTCGATTCTGAGTTTTGGTAACAAATATGTGGCATTTGAAATATGCCTAAAAACAAAATGAGCGGTTCCTAGAAATGGCGGAAATTTCTAGGAACAGTAAAGCCTCACCAAATAAAGCAGTGGCGTCAAAAACAATACTTATGATTTAAATCAAATTATTAAAGATAGGAACACACAATTTATTAAACAATTATATTGGATTACATTTTTGGCAATATTGTACTACATTTTAATACATATTATTATATTATATCACATACATATATTGTCTGTGTGTGAAACCATAGATACATATTACAGATTATAGTATTAATAAATATTAATTACAAAGATTGATTTAACTTTAAAACCTTTATTATTTATATTATTACTCACTTAAAACGTCACAAAGTTAACTAGAAGAATATACGAAATGATTGTAATAAAGTAAAAAAATAATACATACATACAGTACAGTTTACTGTACTGTATGTATGTATTATTTTTTATATAATATAGAATATAGAATACTTATCTTCAACCTTTACAACATGTTCACACACTTTCTTCCAGTTATCTACAGTTACTCTAGCAAACTCCTGTTCCACCAACACTGTTACGTCTTCTAACTTAAAATAAACGTTTTGTTTTGCAACTTCATTTTTTATTTGCGCCCAAACCATTTCTATAGGGTTCAAGTCTGAATGATATGGCGGAAGTTTTAAAGAATCACGTCCTCATTCTTGCAGCACTTTGTCAAATTTATATTGATTATGATCTTGTTTGTGTCGTTTGATAATTTCATACAATTGCGGTTTTAACATTGACGTTACAAAAGGTAAATTTTTTCGGTCGACCAAGATATCATATCCATTTTTTTTAGAATTTCTGGTGGGTGCTTTATTAATTTGTACATTATGATATAACGCATTATCAGTAACAACAACAGATCCAACAGGCAAATTGGGGATTGAATCATCATGATAATCTCCTGTGTTAGCTCCTGACTTAAAAATCAAAAGGGCATTCTGTATGAAACCATCTCTCCACCACCATGTACGATAACCAACCAACTTCCTTTTAAAAGGTTTTTGAACAATCATTTGCCACTGTCATCTGTTCAGCTATTTGGAGTAGTGTGTCCTGCATGTACATAGGTTTCATCAACATATACAATTGACTTACCTTCGCTTCTGTAATATTTAAGTTTGTCCAAATATTTAATGCTTAGAGCACGAATATCATTCCGTTCAATTAATAAACGTCGATTATCTTTCGTTTTCCTCCATTTAAATCCCAAATCTTTCACAATTCTGTAGAGAGAACTCACACTTCTAGTCCAATCCTACACCTCTTCAAGCCTTTTCTGTAAAAGCTTCAATGATAGACGACAACGTTCCGTCTCATGAACACGATTAATGGTATTTCTAATAAACTGTTTATCATACTCCCTCAAGTCTGTCACAGTTGCTTTATAGTGTACGTAAAGATACTCCAGTAGCTTCACTCACACGTTGTTAATTATTGGTTCGATTATCTTCAGGAAATAGTATCTGCGTATATGTATTTAAATACATTGTAAATTATTCCTTTGGATTCTGGTGTCAATCTGATCTGTTTACTCGTACTACACTAACCA